ACTGCAGCCTCATTTTCCAAATCGTCTAACTTTAGTGGATCAATGGCTTTACAACAAATTGCATTGAAAAATAAGCACAACCTAGTTATAGTCTTCCTAACGTTGTTAGGCAATATCCCACGAATAGCCAATGGTAGTAGTTGTTGCATTAAGACATGACAGTCGTGAGATTTTAAGCTAACTAATTTAAGATCTTTAACTGATACAAGCCTCTTGATATTTGATGAGTAACCATGCGGCACTTTGATACTTTGTAAACACTCACAAAAACTTGTTTTCTCTTTTTTAGACAAAGTGTAGCAGGAAGGGGGCAAATATGTCTTGTTACCTATATATTGTGGAGTTAACTCTTCTCGTATACCCATCAAACCCAAATCTAGACGAGCATTAATACCATCTTTTGTCTTTCCTTGAATGTTGAGAAGTGTTCCGATTACACTATCGCATACATTTTTCTCCACGTGCATCACATCAATACAATGTCTTACATCAAGACTAGACCAATATGGAAGATCGAAGAAAATCGATCTCTTTTTCCATACATTTTTCACAGTAGACCATTTTTGGTACTTTCCAAAGACAACATCAAGTCCCTGTTGTCGCTGATAAACTTCCTCTCCAGACAAGGGCTTTGGAGCAACACCATGCTCTTGTTCCCCATTGAAAGCTTTCCGCAATCTACGATATGGATGATAACGTTTTAGAAGTTTTCGATGCCCGAGATAAACGGTCTTCTTTCCTTTTTCAAGCTGATGGTAACAAGTGTCTTTTTCACATATAGGACACGCCTTATGCCCTTTAACTTTATACCCAGACAAATTACCATATGCCAGAAAATCGTTGTTGGTGCAAAACAACATGGCACGCATATTGAAATGTTCGCTAGAATACGCATAAAAAACATCCACCCCTTCCTCCCACAACACTCTTAAATCATCAATCAGTGGACTTAGATAAACGTCTATGTCATTTCCTGGTTGTTTTGGGCCCGATATCATCATCGATAACATAATATATTTATGCTTCATGCACAGCCTAGGAGATAGGTTGTAAATCATCAGGAGAACGGGCCAAGAACTATGGTTAGTACTCAGATTACCAAACAAATTCATTCCATCAGTAGCAAGTCCAAGTCTAAGGTTTCTCTACTCTTTCCCAAAATTTGGAAATAAAGAATCTATTTTCTTCCATTGCAAAGAATCAGCTACATGACGAATTTGTCCATCATATTTTCTTTCTTTTGCATGCCATCTAAGATTCTTTGCGTCATCTGCATTGGTGAATAATCTCTTGAACCTTGAAATTATTGGTAGGTATCATACCACTTTCGCAGGAGGACCCTTTTTGACCACCTCATTATCAATTGATTCACCATCTTTCTTTTTGTAGCGTGAAGCCTTGCACTTCGGACAATGATTATAGTTTACATACTCTTTTCTGTATAATATGCAATCATTAGGGTATGCATGTATTTTTTCATACTCCAAACCCATCAGACACAATATTTTCTTTGCCTCGTAATAACGACTTGGCATTACATTACCTTCTGGAAGCATTTCGGTCAACAATTCAAGCAACTCGGTAAAACTTTTGTCAGTCCACCCATTATTTGCCTTCAGATTAAATAATTTTAACACGGCTGACAGACGTGTAAATTTTTTTCATCCCGGGTACAATGGTTTATCCTTGTCACTGCATATAGTATCATACGTATGTTCCCTCTTAAACGAATCTTGTCCAATATCACGCATCATGTCTTCTAGACGATCATCCATTTCTACACTAGCATCATCTCTTTGAGACACGTTTGACATTGCTACTACTTCACCGTGCCATATCCATTATGTATAACTTTGACAAATCCCTACACAAATTAGATGATCCATGATTTCTTTCTTACTATGTTTTAGTTCTTTATTTGCACAACGAACACATGGACATAGAAAAAGCGTAGGAAGACTTTTTTCAGCATTACTTTCAGCAAACTGTAGAAATTCCATCACTCCATGTTCGTACTCGTCACTTAATCGATTAGCTCTCATCCAACTACGATCCATAACTATGTTCACACGGAGGAAGGTCTGACGAACGGTGTGCCCGCGGCTACGCTACTTCACGGAGATTCCGAGATTGCAAGTTGCGCTGCTTCGCGGAGAAAGAAAAATAGAATCAAATTTCAATGGCAAGGTGATAACTCTATTAAGTTTGATAGGTTAAAGATAAACTGGGTGTTTCTGAGAGGACCATTAACGCTTTTTTCGGAGGTTTCTAAATAGATAATTTCTCTAATGAAAAAGAATGACTAATTATACACAACATGTACTATATTCTTAACTTTATACAAAATATATACTATTTATAACTAATTAGACTTAATTAACCTCTCTAATAATAATAAACTGTTTAGTAATTAAAAAACAGATATGAACAAAGTAATGGATTCATAGTATAATCTTCTAATTATTTTTCTATGTACTTCTAATTTTTTATAATGAATCTCAGTAACAAACAAAGAAACAAGAATGTCTTAAAAACTTTTTTGTATATATAACTCTTAGAAACTAAAACACCAATGTTTGTCTTTGGAATACAAAAGTTGCTTGACATTGAAATATCAACTTACCCATGACCCTCTTCAACCTAGAAGCCAACATCTTGGAAATAATTCTATATAAACTTTCAACCAATTCCTAGATATACAATGAAGTTGAACAAAATAAAAAGTTTTGTACCGTAATCGTAGTTGGACGGCGGAGGATGTTTCGAAGACGGTGAACGGACGGCGAAACGGGCGGCGGAGGATGTCTCGAAGACGGTGAACGGACGGCTTACGGACGGGACGGACGCGAAATGGACGGCGGAGGATGTCTTCGTGCGTTTAGGCGGACGATGTGAAAGTTGTGAGGAGCAGCGTAGGCGAGACGACTTACGGACGGCGTAGGCAATACGGGGGCGAAACGGATGTCTTGGGTTTTTGTTTGAACAGTGACGAAATAATTTGCATGTAGGGGTTAGATCAACATTATATATATAACTTTTTACATCGGTGCAACCGTTCGCCCGATGCAATGGTTTATGCGCTGATGTTTTTTACATCGGTTTACAGAAGGACCGATATAAGGTACATATGTTTTTACATCAGTGCAATCCTTGTCCCGATGCAAGGTTCTGGCACTGATGTTTTTTACATCGGTTTTCAGAAGGACCGATGTAAGCTAGTTTTTTACATCGGTTTAAAGGATGGCACGATGTAAGGTTCGGGCGGTTGATGTTTTTTACATCAGTTTTTATGATTCCCCGATGTAAGCTTTTTAATATATTTTTTATATTACCAATCTGCCAAGGACTTTTTACATCGGTTGATTGCAGGAACCGATGTAATAGCTAGCGTGTTTTTTATTTACAATTCTGCCACCTAGTTTTTTATTTACAAAAATGCCACCGTGTTTTTTTCACGAAACCTTTTACATCGGTGGATTAATTGGCCCGATGTAATAGCTAGCGAAAAATAATTTTTTTTCATATTATTTATATCATTGCAAATAAATACCTGATGCAAAATGTTTTTTATTTTATTTTTTACATCGTATATTTTTATACCTGATGTAAAAACCTTTTCTCAAATGTCATTTTTTAGTAGTGTGAATACCTGACCCTCTCAAATGAGAGGGTATTTATAGTCCGCAGCGCTGGACCAAGATCTCCATCGTTGGACTGGGCAAGCAGGCCCAAAGTGGAGACTGCTAGGTCCTACGTGTGTAGTGGGGTCAACACGTGGTCCCTAACCTGGATGGACTCCTCTGAATTATTAGAAGGGTATGGATGCAGTCTTTTCGGGACCAAGAGGACTCCGTGATATTTGGAGGTGTTAGAGTCAGCAGTATGAGGAGGATGCTCGTGAGGTTCTTTTGTCTGTCATGGATCATCTTCGCCAGCTGTGAGGTTGTCCCCGGAAGACTTGTCTTGATCGACGAGAAGAGTGGAGGATGCTCGCGAGGTCCTCCTGATCGTCTTCGGCCCTCCTCGCCATTCATGGGGTTATTTCCGTAGGACAAAGCCATGTTGACCAGAAGAGTGGGGTTACTGTTCGACTTAGTCGATGGTAGATTTCGTCAACAGACTTTCTCATGTAGCTTAGTCGGATTGGGTCTTGTATGATGTTTGGGCCAAGTGCAGACTCAGTCCAGAACAATTATTTTTATACATTGTGATTTAAGACCCTGAGAGCCTCCATTTCAGACTCATTATTGTAGAGATGGACATTAGGGTTCAGGATTAGGTTAAAGATGTTGACCGACAAAAGAGATGTGATCAGAAATGGAGTAGACGACGATGAGTCTGGAGTGATATAGAGGCCTTGCTGGAGGTCTGGTAAGCTTTCTTCCAAGTGTCTTCTATGAAAGAACTATGTGAAATTTCGCCGTCAAGATGACACTTGCTTCCTTCCAATGCCTCACTAAACTCAATTTGAAGTGAAGAATGACGGAATTTTTCTCCTCTTCCAGCGACAACTTCAACTTGTGATATCCCTGCCGTGCCTTCATATTCATAATCATCACCTGCTTCGCATCTTCCATAGAGAGCGGTCCTGCCAAGGTGCTGAAGCCTTCTAGGTATTTATTTCTTCAGGATTGATTATTCATTATTGTGCATTGAATATTTAATTTTTTTTAAATGATCTAACTGTATTATTGAATGACAATTTTTTAATGTGTGTATACTAAATAAATCATACAAAATACCTGTTTTTTTTTCTTGCAAAACTATAGCTCAAAGTTGCGTGTAGCAGCACTATGTGTTCGTTGTCTTATTTGCCATGTGTCAAAGCATATCCATTAGCCCATACTATTGTCAAACACCCCCCCAACTTTGGATAAAATGAAGATATAGTACAAAAAACTTGTCTGTGGTGCATATTAAACCACATTTTCAATTTATACAATATACATAGTCCACCTAACTCACTCTCTCATCTAAACAAAAAAAATTAGTCAAATAACATGGATGCTTGTTTTCTCTCTCAAACTTCCTTCACCAAGATCAGAGCTGGATCTCTAACTTACTCCAAAAGATCTTCTCAACAATTCAATTCAAGAAAAGTTGCAAGTCCATTTCATATATCATGTAAGTTCTTCTCTTCTCTCTATCTCTCCTACTTTCACTAAGATCAAAGTCTTAATTCTAAAAATCAGATCATAATCTTTGATACTGTGAGAATTTGTAGTTAGGAAATAGAACCCACTGTCAAACTGTTAGTAAACTGTTAGGAAATCAGGGCCCTGTAGTTAGATATAGCTTGCTATGATCTCAATCATGATCTTTGATATTGTAAGAAGTTGTGTAGCAGTCAAATATAACATTCATGGTGATTTGTATACCAAAGTTAATCTCATATTCTAATTATGGAAACTTGTGATCAAATCACAGGTTGCCACAAGTCATCATCATCGTCATCTCCGTTAGATGATGACAAACCAACCGTTAATACCGATTGGCGAACTTTCCGGGCAAAATTGGTGGCCGGAGAACAGTTACTTTCATCGGTGACTAATACAGACACTGCTATGGATCAACCATCACTAATCACGATGGGCGACAAATGGGCCCATATAATCCATGAGCCCGAAAGAGGTTGTTTGTTAATCGCAACAGAAAAGCTCGACGGGGTCCATATTTTCGAACGAACGGTGATCCTTCTTTTGTCAAACGGCCCAATAGGCCCGTCCGGGATCATACTCAATAGACCGTCATTGATGTCTATTAAAGAAACAAGATCAACAGCATTCGATGTAAAGGGTACATTTTCTAATAGTCCTTTGTATTTTGGAGGACCTTTAGAAGAAGGGTTGTTTTTGGTGAGTCCTAAAGATGATGGTGTGGTGAGAATAAGTGGTGTCTTTGATGAAGTGATGAAGGGTTTGTATTATGGCACAAAGGAAAGTGTAGGGTGTGGTTCTGAAATGGTGAAGAGGAAGCTTGTTGAGGTTGATGATTTTAGATTCTTTGATGGGTATTGTGGGTGGGAGAAAGAACAATTGAAAGATGAGATTAGGGCTGGTTATTGGACTGTGGCTGCTTGTAGTCCAAGTGTGGTTGATTTGGGGAATGTTGGAAGTGTCGGGCTCTGGGATGAAGTTCTTGGCCTTATGGGCAAAAGGAAGGTCAAGTGACAAGGTTTACTTTACTTAAATTAGTGAATGGCTATTATTCCCGCATTTTTTTTAATAAAACCGATCATGTTTAAAAATACCGTTCTTTACGGATAAAAACACGAATAGATGATCTGTCTGTTTTTTCTCTTATTAAACAGTACTTTTAAACATGGTTGGTTTTTAAAAGAAGTACGAGAGAATAAAAACATTTCTCTTTAAATTAAGGGTATTCATTGACACTTGTATTTTCACTTTCTGAAAAATATGTTTTTGGATGACGAATATATATAAAATGTACACATTTGAAAATAAACTTATAGAGAATCTAAGTGTAGTAGCAAAACTCAAAGTTAATGAGTCCTCAAATATAAAGGGATAAGATATGTTTGGATTGTTGATATGAAACGGAAAAAAAATGAATTGAATTGTGATTTAGGTAGATTATGACAAGTTGATCAACATTGTAAATTATAATATTATTTTAGTAATCGTTGTGTATAGTTTGATGATGTTAACTATATGAGAGTTTTGCTCTTTTAAAATTCTACCCAAGAATTTAAATGAGTATTTTAAGAAAAACTTAATGTTTCAAAAATGTATATGTTGTAGATATTGAACTTAGCGATGCTTTGAATATTAGAGTTAAATAAGGAAACATTAAGGAATTTACAACAAAATAGAACCTAACCTGGTTTATAGAAAATAATGTTATAAAGAAAATCAATCTTGATGAGTATCAGTGTTATTCATGGTTTCCACGGCAGTTATTCTCCACATCATTAGTTTTCGATGGTGCAAAAATTAAAAAGGATTTTATTTTTAAAAACCATCTATCAAACATGACCTTAACTAAAGATTCCATAAGAGGACACACCGTAAGAATAAGATTTTGTTCTGTAATATTATTATTAAGTTTTGATGATAACAAATGAGTATATTTGTATGAATAATTTTGATACTCTAATGTTTGTTATTATTGAGTATTTAACAAACAGACTCTGTTTTTTATGGATGGTGTGGTCAAGACATTAGAAAAGAATTAAGTTCTGCTTCTACGCTATACAAGTTTTGATAAACAGTAGCAAGACACTCTAGAAGACTCTGAAGTGTAGGCTCTGATATGAAGTCTAAAAAAATCAGTCAGAAGATCTGAAGACTGGAGTTTCTACTTACGTCCAGATGTTGAATACTCATGCTTCTAAAGACAACGTGTTCTAAAGAAACAGTCAGAAGATCTGAAGACAGAAGTTTCTACTTACATCCAGATGCTAAAGACTCGTGTTTCTGAAGACAACGGGTTCTAAAGACCCAGTGTTGAAAACTCTGAAGACAAAAGTTCTAAAGACTTGAAGTTCTAAAGACCCAAGGTTCTAAGAAAAGGTTCTCACGACCAAGTGTTGAAGACTCTGAGGACGCAGTTCTGAAGACTCTGAAGACTTGAAGTTTTGATGACTTTATGTTATGTTTCCACTTCTAAACTCGTGCTCGCAGAAGCCTTTGAAGTGCAGAAGGAAAGAAGATAACGTTAACATGGTACAATAGTACACAGTATGAAAATGTCTTATTCCAATATCTCTCTACTAGCTTGAATGGTGGAAAAGAAAATGATGTAGCAGTACTATTTGTAACGACTCTTTTTTTAATAGGCAACGACTCTATTTCGCTTGGCTATATAAGAAAAGAATCACATGCTTAAAATGTTATTGGCGTTCAAATATTGTTATAGCTGTTACGCTGAACATACTGAAGCTAACCCAAAAGAAATCAAGAAGATGATGAAGAAGAACTCAACAAGATGATATCTAAATTCTTATCAAATACTTCTTGGTAGAAGTATGAAGAAGCAAGAAATTGTTGTTCATAGCTTACTCAATTAAAGAAAATGAAGACGAGAAAGCTATAAAATGCTTCACTTAAACTTAGATTATATTCATCTTTGTATAATCATGTAAACACAAGAGTTATTGCTCATATTGTGTTATATCTTTAATACTTCATATAAAGTGTTTGTACACAAGAGTTGTTGCTCATAATTGTGTCAAACAATCAGGAATTAATCATTTGTGTAATATGCTTAGAAAGAAGCAATCATGTAAACATAAACATTATCGACTGAATGTTGATTGTTCCTTGGGAGACTCGGTTGAGTCAGGATTCTCAAGAAGACTTTGGATGCAGTCGTCGTAGATGAAATCCTGTTAAGAAAGATCAGGTTAGTCATATTTCTTAAGGGGTCCTTGATCGTTATATCTCGAAGAGATCACTGAATGTATCATTTTATTGTTCCTTGAGTGACTGAGTGAAGGTCTGATATCAAGAAGATAATGACTGCGATCATTATGGAAAATCCTGATAGATGATTTTGAGGAATCCGATTTTGTTTGGTTAATGGTAGTCATATCTCAAACTCGACTGAGTGAAGGTCAGCCTTGTGAGATCACTGATGGATATCATTGCAAAGAAATTCTGGTAGGAGAACTTGAGGGATCAGATTTTATTGGGTCAATGAATGTTATATCGAGTTGGATCACTGAACGTGTCACTGTGTGTTAGTGTTGTACCCCAAAATTTGCCCTCCCATATTCCTCAAGAAATTGCCAAGCCAGGTCACAAAATTCCCCAAGGGTTGTGCAGTCCAACTGTCTCCTATACAGTCAAAATTAGGGTTTGAGTTCTGGTCAAGAAATTGAAAGTTTCAAAGGTCCAATCAGGTCTCATATGCTCACAAACATGGTCAAGCATCCTCATATCAAGTTTCAAAGCATTCAGCTCAAGATTGTACAGTCAAAACCCTAAATTGCACTACAGTCAACTGTAGGGGCAAAATGGTCATTTGGCAGTCAAAAGTTCAAATTTTTGGTCAACATATCATTTTGAAGCCACAAACATCATTTGATCAATGCTTGATCATGATTCTCAAAATTTGGCTCAGAAATCATCAAAGATGCAAAAGTTTCTTTATTTAGACAGCTGAAAAAGTCAACTGAAATTGACCAGGGCATAACTTTCACATGGATCATCAGAAAAATTCCATCCAAAGCTCATTTTGAAGAGAAAGACATTTCCTACAACTCATCTTCATACTTCAAGTCCAAGAAATGCTCTCACAAAAAGTTATCAATTTCAACATTATAGGTCATTTTCAAAAGTCAACAAAAAGGGACTTTAAGTCAAAGGCCATAACTTGAGATTGGTAAATCAAAATGACATGGGACCAAAGGCATTGGTTAAAGGACTCAAAGACCTTTCCAAAATGTCCAAGAACATGTGAAAAGCTTAAAAATTGAGCAAGTTATGCCTTGTAGAAGTTGGGAAATTTTGGTGAAATGGCAAAAGTCAACTATCTTTGAAAATCCAATTTTTGACAAAAGGGCCCCATTTTTTCCACTTGGATCATCCTTGTCATGCCACACACGTGTCCCATGGTTAATTCCAAGACCAAATATTGATTTTTTTATTTTATTTAATTTTTGATGATTTAATTCATTTTAATTCATTGAAAATTCAAATAAAATTCAAAAACCAATGGAATAGTGTCATATGAACTTGGACAATTTCCATGCATCATGAACCAACTCAAGAAATCAGGCTAGGGTTCATTTGCATACTAGGTCTAGGTTTGGGCTAAAAAGGAGGAAAAATGGTTAAGAGTGAAAACCCTAAGACTAATTCCTTTATGAGCTTGAATTAAGGTGAGTTGACAAGCCAATTCTATTCCATGAGATGCATTGAGTCAAACCCTAACCATAACATAGCAAGAGGCTCGCTCAAAAGTGGATGGGCAATTTGAAATTTGGCATAAAACACAAAATCTGAAATCACTACAAAAGGATCTTTCAAGCCTTAATTTTGGTTCCATAAGCATCCTGGACAATCATTGAACACGTTCCAATTGAAAACATCTTCCAAAACTCCCTAAACTGGTACCCCTAACTCAAACTGTACAGCATTTTTTTTGAAATCGTATTCTTAATTCTAAGCATCTTCACTGCATTCCAATTGGATATTCTTGTTCCATGTGATGTTTCCAAGCTATTCATTATGTTTAATTTCATTTTTGTTGATCATACACGAAGTTACCATTTTCGAATGTTAGGGTTTCCAGCTTTTTAGTTTAGGGCTTTCAAAAATAGGCAAAATCAAAGCTCAAGACCATCGCCATTAAAACCAGCATGTTCCAATGAGCAGGAAACAACCATCGCGAACAATTTATGTAGCCTATACGGCTATTCGCTATTTTCCCATAGCAGGCTTAAGGCAACGCTTCAAAACCGTTGCTATTGTGTTTTATGTTTCAGGGTACGCGAGGAAGAAGAAGACGTGTCCACCAGCGGTTCGTCCATTCAAAATTCGCGCGTCTCAGCCACTAGCGCGTTGTGTTTGTTTTATATAGTTTATTTATATATTATATATCAAAGTGCTTAAGTAGCTCAGTTGGCAAGCTACTAGCGTGTTAACCTCAATGACCTGGGTTCAAGTCCCAGGTCAGAACAATTTCCATAATATTTTTCTATCTTAATTCCCATGCAGCGTTACTATAGGGGTACACCATGCACACTCAAAAATCAATTGGCCACGCGTCTTGGAGATCTAATCCAGGGATCAGAATGAAAGCATATCATGGATGCCAGTCAACAAACCACATATGATCCAGAAAGTCAATGATTCACAACGCAAATGGGCCAGGCTTTTTCAAATCTGCACCTCCATTTCTGGGGTCTACCCCCCCTGGTTTGCCCATTTAATTTATTTTCTCATATCTTTTAATCATTTACTTTAATTATTATATTATTTTAATTACTTGTTTTATTTAATTTTTTAATCAAAATACAAAAACATCATAAAAATAAAAAGGACCAAAATAAAAAATATAATTTTTATTCTAATTATTTTCTAAAATACTTGTAATTACTTAGTTTAATTAGGGTACAAATTTAATTCTTTTAATAAAATCCAAAAAATAGAATTTAGGTTTAATAGTTCTTATTTCTTTTTTTATTTATTTATTTATTTTTTCC